TACAGTATGTGAGAGGGGGCAGGCTGGGTGAGGGACACTCCCCGCCCCCACACCCAGTGCATGAATTTCATGCACTGGGCCCCTAGTCCTTTCATAATTCACTGCTTGAGATTCTAAAGTCAGCTAAGTTGGCACTAATTTGCATCTAACTTTTAGTTATCTATAGACAGAAAGCCAAAAATAATGGTCAGGAATGGATGTTTTCATAATTCACCGGCATCTTAAATGGCAAACTAATAGATGAAGAAGCAAAGCTGATCAGTAAGTGAGCGTGGCCGGTTATAACCACAGTGGTGGGATATGCATGGTCTTTGTTTCTGGGTACTTTTTCATCTTCATTTTCAGCACGGGGTTTTCTATGTCACTGTGCCCAAAGATGCCCTGATTAAATAAGCCAGGTGTGCTGAACGTGGGAGGAAGCGAAGCACAGAAAGGCGGAGTGTTGCCATAACTCTTGTTTTCTCCATCAATCACTGCAGCTGTATTCACATGGTTCCCTCCTGGAAAATAGTCACAAGGCTGATTCACTTTATTGAGACTGGCTGATGACCCCCAGAGAGATGAGAAATGGTTTGGTTTTATTTCAGTTTGGGTTTCTTTAGATGCAGCCCCTAGAAAAGATTTTGAACGCAAATTGTGGGTGAAGGGAACACTGAGAAGGGAGTGGCAGTGGTGCAGGGTAGTGAAGATGGACAGTAAAGGCGCATTAACAACAAAGCACCACCAGAGGTGACTAGTTCTAATCCCTCTGTTGGGGATTAGACTGTTGATACATTCCTCAGGTATATGCCACAGGACAAAGAAGTTCATTGGTTGAGAGCTGTTCCTGGGGTCCATGAATTCCCTGGCTGTTCTGATCTGGCATACTGTCAGGAAAAGCAGGTTCCAGTGTCAAGAAAAAGAGCCACAGCCAAAGAAAAGCAGGTGCTGGGATTTGGATATCAGGTTGATGTCCACTGAAATGGCACAGGTGAGGTGACATGGGCAGGACACCAGCAGTGTCTCTGCTAAAGGTGTTAAAACACTTTCGGAACCTTCCTTAGATGCTGAAGACTGAAGAAGTAACAAGTAATAACGTACTGTCAGATGACTAACATTTCATTTAAAAACACTTAATGAGATTAGGTTGACCCAACCTGTCCTTCTTATGTAAATGGACAAGAGTTGTTGGACTTCATTTTCACATTGTGGTGTGAGATTCTAGATTGTAGACTTAGGTTCTACTGTTTTAAAATTCCCTACCCTTCTAACTCTCCCAACTGGTGAAGAAACTGATCCCAATTATTTGAGGAAAAAAGAAAGAAAATATAATAATAGTAAGCCCCATGGGAAGGTACAAGATATGTTAATTCAGCAATTTTGGACTAAGAGCTAAAAGAGAGACAGAAATTAGCTGGGACAGAAGTATAAGGGAATAAGAAAATTATGTGAGTCAGTGTCTTCCTTTGAATGATGTTGCTTTTTATTTTTACAGCTTTAAAGAGCATGTTTGGTTCTATTTACTATCCAAAGGCCCTGAGTTGTCAACCTTCCAAAATACTAATTGGCTTATTCCTTTGCCCACTCTAGGGACTAAGTCACTATTTGTAGAATTGATTTGACTGATGACTAGATGGTCTCTTCCTACTGTGGCTTTTCTTAGTTATATCTGGTGTGTATATCTTTAGAGTTCCTGTCTCTGTTTGCATGTATGTAGTTTTAGTATTTTGTGTTAAGAATATACAACTGAAAGAAATTCTAGTGACAAAATAGGCTGGTTTAGGGAGTAAAGAGGGTCCATGGGGAAGGAATGCATATGTGAAGGACAGAGCTATCTCTGGCCTGACCAATTAAAGCAATTATAACATAGATCAAAAGCAGCCCTGCCCTGAGCAGCTTGGAGACACCACAATGCTTGTCTTACTTGTACGAAGATAGAAAAGGGCAAGAGGATGGGGGGGGGGGGGGGGGGGGG